GTCCCGGGCTCGTCCCCACTCCCCGAACCGTTGCACCTTCACCAGGAGCTCTGAGCTGCCCCAGCCCCAGCCGTGGATTTTGGGGGGCAGGACTGCTCTGGGCTTGTGCCCCTGCGCCTGGGACGAGGGCACAGCGAGGGGCTGGGGCCGGACGGGTCCCGGGCGCTCGGGGGTCCCAGGCCGGGGCCGCGTTCCCGGGAATTGGGGCTGCAGCAGCCGGGGTCCCCGGGGCCGCCCAGCCCCGGCTGCCCCGGGCAAGCCCGGCCCCGCTCGGGGCTCGCCTCGGACCGCAGCGGTGCCCTCAAATCACGGGGGGCTCCTGCTCCGAGCGGAGGCAGCACACAAAGGATTCGGGCCCGATCCCTCCTGCACGGTGAGGAGCTGGGACCGGGCCCTGTGCTGGGGACACCGGGCTGTCCCCGTGTCCTGTGGGGCTGCCGCGTGCTCTTGGGGTGCGGAAGGAATCCTGTCCCGCTCCTGGAATTCCGGCCCCTCACAGGTCCCCCCTCCGCCAAGCCCCCCTCAGGTCGCACTCGCCACTTTGGAGCCAGGCTGGTTTCTCCAGGTGATCCCGGTTCCCAGGGACAGCGAAACCCAAAGCCGGGGCTGAGCAGGAGACGCGGATCTGAGCGCTGCTGGGAGAGTCCTGAGCTTCGGGGTTTTCCCAGCGATGGAATCCAAAGCAGCTCTTCCTCAGCTGGGATCGGGATCGGGATCGGGATCGGGATCGGGATCAGGATCAGGATCGGGGTTGGGTCGGGGTCGGGGTGGGTTTCTGTTGCTGCTCCCGCACTCCCCTTTCCCCTCTTGCTCATCCCAGCTCCTCTCCGTGCTCGGGGTCACATCCAGCCTCGGGAATCTCTTGTCGGGGTCCCGCACAGCCCCCAAACGCCTTTTCCCCCCTTAAAGCTGTTCCTAAAGCCCAGCCCGGGGCTCGCAGCCTCCCCTGTCCCGGCCAGGAGGGTCCAGGTGAGGCCAGGGAGGGCTCGGGCCGTTCTGGGGGATCCTCGGGGGGTCCAGGAGGGTCCAGGTGAGGCCAGGGAGGGCTCGGGCTGTTCTGGGGGATCCTCGGGGGGTCCAGGTGAGGCCAGGGAGGGCTCGGGCCGTTCTGGGGGATCCTCGGAGGGTCCAGGTGAGGCCAGGGAGGGCTCGGGCTGTTCTGGGGGATCCTCGGAGGGTCCAGGAGGGTCCAGGTGAGGCCAGGGAGGGCTCGGGCCATTCTGGGGGATCCTCGGGGGGTCCAGGAGGGTC